GTAAGAGTAAGGAGATCAACCTCCGTGATACAAAAGTTCCGATTTTTACAGTTCATTGGGAGAGAATCCGCTCAAAAGAATAGTTTTTTACGGTTGGACGTCATTTGCAAAACTATGCATGTACACAACAACCACTGAACTATAATATGGAACGCGCCTTCCATTGTTCGAGCTGTCCGCGATAGAGAGCATCACAACTAGGATCTCTGTCTTTGTTTCGTCGTCGCTGATTGGTTGAAATTTATACGAGTACAGTCGAAGACAAAAAACCAACGAAAAGTAAGGAATGACTGCATTTAGCAGAAATCAGCGCTCAGTAATTGCTAATACGCAGTCATTCTTTACTTCTCGTTGTTCTTTTGTCTTGGATTGCACTCGTAAGCGCTGATTTCTGCTGAACGCAGTCATTCTTTACTTTTCGTTGTTCTTTTGTCTTAGACTGTACTCGTATAAATTCAACCAATCAGTGACGACGAGACAAAAACAGAGATCCTAGTTGTGATGCTCTCTATTGCGGACGCTCGCACAATGGCAAGGCGCGTTCCATATTATAGTTCAGTGTACACAACACATGTACACGTTTAGTATATGTAACCTATCTTGTTACATATACGATTGCAGCGTAGTTATGCATACATTTATAAAAAGAACTTTATTTACACCTAGGACGATGAGTTGCGATTAGTAGAGATAGTAGTAGAGGATTATTTCTAAAATAAAACGATGCATCCTTGAGGAAACTTCATTACACGGAAAGTATGGTGAGTATATACTTATATATACAGAGTGTCCCACAACTCACGACTTTAAATTAAATGACGTATTCCTGAGATCATTTTGAGACGAAATTTCTAATGCCATATTGTCGAGACTACAATACTTTTTGAATTATAAGCATTTAAAAGTGACCTATCTGGTGGTCTGTTTTTCGCGCGCTCAGGTACGGCGCATTGTACATAACAGTGTTCTTGTTTCGATATACTTAATATTTTGATAATTATGCAAGTTTTCAAAAAATGTTTTTTATTGGATTATAGTTACATAAACATAATATTAATGCATTAAGTGTATGTAATGCGTATGTAAATGTAAACAGTTTCATCAAATTCTTGTAGAATTTTAATCACGTGTTTGACGAGCTGTCAAAGTTATAGTATGAAACTAGCGTATGCTGTATTGATTTTTTTGGTTTGTAGTAAAGTTGCTGCAATCAATAAATTTCAATATACTCGAGAAATTAATAACATTTCTATTTATTACATTTATTTAATTTTATACAATATAAAAAATATTTTTTCAATTAATAACGAACAAGTCTTAATAATAATGTTATTCTATTAAAATAGTGGTTACTGTTATTTTATTTACAATTAAAATGTGTACATACTTATTATTATTTGATTTAATATTAATGTTTAAGACTTGTGTGTTTGTTATTAATTAAAAAAATATTTTCTATTGTATAAAATTAAATAAATGTAATAAATAGAAATGTTATTAATTTCTCGAGTATATTGAAATTTATTGATTGCAGCAACTTTACTACAAACCAAAAAAATCAATACAGCATACGCTAGTTTCATACTATAACTTTGACAGCTCGTCAAACACGTGATTAAAATTCTACAAGAATTTGATGAAACTGTTTACATTTACATACGCATTACATACACTTAATGCATTAATATTATGTTTATGTAACTATAATCCAATAAAAAACATTTTTTGAGAAAACTTGCATAATTATCAAAATATTAAGTATATCGAAACAAGAACACTGTTATGTACAATGCGCCGTACCTGAGCGCGCAAAAAACAAACCACCAGATAGGTCACTTTTAAACGCTTATAATTCAAAAAGTATTGTAGTCTCGACAATATGGCATTTGAAGTTTCGTCTCAAAATGATCTCAGGAATACGTCATTTACTTTAAAGTTGTGAGTTGTGGGATACCCTGTATATATAAGTATATACTCACCATACTTTCCGTGTAATAAAGTTTCCTCAAGGATGCATCGTTTTATTTTAGAAATAATGCTTTACTACTATTTCTACTAATCGCAACTCACCGTCCTAGGTATAAATAAACTTCTTTTTCTGGAAACCCTTCCTTTGGTCTCACATTCTCGAATTCAACATGCCATAGCTGCGGATTCTCTCCCAAGTCCCAATGAACCGTTACAATTGGGACCACTTTTGTATATGTCACGAGAAGTTCGATCTTCTTACTCTTACTTCGTGGGTCAAGTTATGTTTCAAATGGCGTCCAACTGTAAAAAAATATTTCCTTAAGCGGATTCCCTCCCAATGAACCGTAAAAATCGGGACCACTCTTTCCATTCGCGCGCTATCAAGTTCGATCTCCTTACTCTTACTTCGTGATGAGCCATATGAGCCAGTGTTTTTTGTTTACAGATCAGTAATATGGCATGCTGGATATGTGGATGCGAGACAAAAAGAGAGAAACATGTTTCCAGAAAAAGCCCCAAGGAGAGGATTTATCTTTTTATTTCAAGAATAATCCTCTACTAATACTTAGTAATTGCATACTCACTGTTCTAAATGTAAAAAGGCTTCTTTTTCTAAAAACATGTTTCCCTCCTTTAATCTCGCATTCACGTATTCAGCATGCCATATTTCTGATCTGTAAACAAAAAACACCGGCTCATCACGAAGTAAGAGATCGAAGAGTAAGGAGATCGAAACTCTGTGATACAAAAGTAATCCTGATTGTGATCCCTAATTAGAGATCCGCTTTTTCTATTTGCATGCTATCAAGTTCGATCTCCTTACTCTTACTTCGTGTGTATTCTTACCTGATATGCTACAAGCTGACAGGTAAGGTTACAAGTTGCAAATGGCGTCCACCTGTAAGAAACGATTTTCTTTGGCGGATTCTCTCTCAATTAGGCGTCAGAATCGGGACCACTTTCTCCATTCGCGCGCTATGAAGTTCGATCTCCTTACTCTTACTTCGTGTGTATTCTTACCTGATATGCTACAAGCTGACAGGTAAGGTTACAAGTTGCAAATGGCGTCCACCTGTAAGAAACGATTTTCTTTGGCGGATTCTCTCTCAATTAGGCGTCAGAATCGGGATCACTTTTTAACACGAAGTTCGTTCTCCTTAAGGTCGAAGCTTTTGCAAACTTTTGCATAATGCATAACGCATAAGACATAAGAGAATTAACCAATCAAAGCTTTCTAGAACAAGAAATAGGGATAAAAACGAAAAGCTAGATTGGTTAATTTTCTTATGTTTTATGCGTTATGCGTTATGCAAAAGTCTGTGCTTCGGTCTTTACTCTTACTTCGTGGTCTTGTTTAAACAATCCTACTTGCAAATAAAGCACTTAAATGTGGCACGGACCTCACGCAGCGCGCGCACTCTTCATTTGCGCGTATACTTGCAGCGAGAGACTATCATGCTTCTTGATTTAGCGTAGTTTTGGAGTCTCTTAGCAAACGACTGAAGACACTTAGATCGGCTAGCTATCGATGCTAGAAAGTTTCAGAGAAAAAAAGTGACACGATCACTTTCCAAGACTTTCAGCCAAATGTGGTGTAACGGCTGCAATCATCGGAATTTGTAGCACAGCTCCCCTGGAAAGTTCCATCTCGTCAAATTTTAACTGTCAGCATGAATTGCGGTTTTTAGAGAACTTTCTAGAAAAGTGCAAATTCCGCGAATCCTCATCGATTTTTCGATAAAAACAGATGTTGTTTATTTGTAATTGGTTGCCACCGCGCAACTGGGCGCCTCGCAGTTGGTCTAGCGTGTAGCGCAGCTAAAAGCTGCTCGCGCTCACGTTGATTGGCGAGCGCTTGGCTACGCCTTGTGTTATTCTGCGCCGCGCTAGAATTTGACATGTTTGACACTACGCACGTGCCTTTAGTCGCATCTCAAATATAAAGAAAATACAGGGTGTCCCACCTAACTTGAGCATCCTAAATATCTCGCTTATTTTTTATGATAGAAGGGTGCTGAAAAGGATCATTATTTAGTTCGAAGAGACAAATGCAGTAATGACCAAAAAAGTTCTTTCGAGGTCATATTTTTTAGGATTTCAATGTCAGTGTCATTTTTTTTATCAGAAAGTATATATTTTTATCCGCGTGATATGATTGGCAAGGTCAAGACAAATTCAACGATCTGCAATACTATAACTTTCACGTGACCTTGAGTCTAAAAAATTTAGACAAATTATAAAAGAAATAATTAGTGAAATAACTACGACAAGGGAATTATCAATGAAAACTTTATCGTAACAAATGCTCAAAATGATGTCTATACAGTTTAGTCAGATTGACATCAATACAGTTACAAACTAGATTATTAGAAGAGAGGAAGAAAAACGTTTTTAATTATTATTATTCACCAATAAAGAAGTATTATAAGTAATGTTTTATAAATAAGCATACTTAATCTAGAAGAACGTATAATTTTAATAAAACTAATTGTAATAAAACTAAACCAGAAATTATTTATCTTATGATTTTTTGTGTGTAGCAATCAATTTGTATTGTAGCAATCAAAAACCATGTAGCAATCAATTCTGGTTATGAGTCAGATGTCAAATTTTCACGATCACTTTAAATACTAAATATATTTTTTTTCTGAGATGTATAAGATTATTATTTTTTTCTTTAGAAGTAAAGAGTCATTAAACAATGTACATAATGTGTGTAATATTATATACTATTACATAATATTGCACACATTATGTATATTGTGTTTTATTTTTTGGTAATTTATAAAAAAGTAATATCTCTTGCCTTTTTTTCAGATGTCAATTGCATGATACTTTTATTATATTTTATATTGAATATTTGCAATATGAAGTAAAGATATTTACACAAGTTTGCAATATATTTGAAAAATGGATATCCATATCTATATTGTTGTAACTTTTCAGGAATATGTGAATTTCAAAAACAATAGTCCTGCGATGTTTCAGCAATTTTTCGTGCTATAGAAAAGTAGTATTATAGTACGTACTTATTTCATGATTGTAGATGTCATACGTTCTGCCATACCACGTTGATAAACAAGCTATGATCAAAGTATGTGTACCGTCTGGCAATTTTTCGTGAATGTATTCGTTGGGATTTGCCCATTGCCAGCTACTGGGTGCCACAAGAATGTCACCACCTCTACACATAAGGTATCATAACAATTAAATATATATACATATATATATATTTTTTTTTGACTATTATTATTGAACTTAATGAGAAAGCAAAAAATTAATTATATTAAAAAATAATAAGAGATCTTTTTTTATTTTTTAGTTATTCATTTGTTTGATTTATAAGTTAAGAAAGAAATGAAAATACTGATAATTACATAATTTTTTTGTATAGAAAATTACAAAGATATTTAACACTGTGTGTGTGTGTGTCTGCGTGTGCGTGCGTGCGCGCGTGCGTGCGCGTGCGTGTGTGCGTGTGCGTGTACGTGTGTGTGTGTGTGTGTGTGTGTGTGTGTGTGTGTGTGTACATGTTATATATTGTTAATATATGACATGTTAATACCGACATAAGCCTTGGAGAAACTTCACATCCCATACAGGTTTTCCAGTGATGACATAATAAGACATCGTTTTTGAATCACCAATAGATGTAAAATACGTTTTTCCGGAAGCAATTGCAAGTTTTACTGTAAAAAAATATGTGATTAAAATATTTTAAAAAATTATGGTTTCTTTACATATTTTATCATTTATTTTTACAATATAAATATACGCAAAATCTTATTTCACATTTTTTATAAATAATTAACAATTCAACACTTTAACGGATTTAAACCTTTGAGCGTTACTCCAACTTCAGTGTCATATGTTCCAAAATGTTTCTGTATAATACAAGCAGTCTGTATCGCTTCTATTGCTATGTCACGCATGAGCATTCCTTCTTGACGTTTCCACATTACGATAAACGCGTCACCGGAAAATTTTAAAACATCGCCGTTATGCGATAGAATCTCCTGCACCATTAATCCGATATAACTATTTAGAATTTCCGATAATTTTGATGGACCTCCTAAACCTATTTTTGTGTACTTTTCCGTGAGATCTGTGAAGCCTGGATGTAATTAAAATTACGTAACAATTCAATTGTACAATCATAAAAAATAAGAAAATAAATAAATGGTTGAATGATCTAACCTGACACGTCACCAAGCATTAATGTAGTGTGATATTCTCTAGTTTCGTAATCGTCAAAATGATCGAGAATTTCATCAGGACACATAGACGCAAATATTTTTGTATGCTCTTCTACTCGAATCGAAGACGTATTATAGATTGGTGATCGATTACCTGCATTTTTACCGTGTCTTAAAGATTTTGTTATTTATGATAAAATACACACTAATATATTTTTTTGGTTTTTGTATAATGTCGAAATCAGTAGTAACATGTTAAATTCCATGTTACACATAAAATATGTACACACATATTATTATTTAATTCACCTTCTGTTAGTAAATTTTGTACGTTTAGTAACATATCTATCGTTCTGTTTTTTGTATTATGATATAATATTTCTTAATGCTTTTCTAAATATTAATTGTATTGTTAATTATTAACATAATTCTTTTAATTCTAGCATCTAGAATTAAAATAAACAAAACACTGTTTAAACAAATACGTATTGAAAGCAGTGTTGCAAACTCTAACCGGCTAGCACCGATAGCATCGAGGTAGTGGGAGCAGCGTTGCCAACTTAAAATTTTGAAAATCCGTAGAGGAGGATTCAAATTTCCGTAATGTTTGTGGATTTAGAAATCTTAAATTTTTAAGTTGTTCCTTTTCTTCGAAAGGGAACCTTTTCTTTATTTGTTTTGCACTTTCTAAATAGAAATCTAGACATTTCTGCCAAAGTTGCTGAATACACTCTTGAAATAAACTATCTTTTTTTAATTTTATAATTCCTGCAATGTTACCTCCTACATACATTTCCTCTAGCAGTAAATACAATAATTTTTTTTCAACATCAATATTTAATATTTTTGCTTCTAATGTAGAATCCTGATCGGCAGTCTCATTGATTTCTTCGTCTGTTAATTCAAAACATTCTTGTCTTAAAAAACATTCAAAAAGTTATTTGTAAGTAGTAAATATTCGTTCATACAGTAAATAAATTTTGAAGTGCTCTGATTGCATTTCCTTATTTAAGTCGTTAAAATAAGGTAACACAATACTTAAGAATTTTAAGTATAATTCCGCTGTTAGAATATTTTGCAAGTAAACGATCAACAAGAACAGCACTTTGAAAATAAAGTTTCAATGCAGGTAATTGTTCTAAAAGTCTTCGTATTACCGATAATAGTGAGAGCCATCTTGTTTGTGCGGGATGTAATAAATTGTGTGGTTCTACACTTGTAAAACACTGGAAGATTTTATAATCTCCAATTCTTTTTGGACTATTTTGTATATACCCTGATAGCCACCTATCTGTGTTTTTGCTGTCATGTTGCCGAAAACAAAACGCTTGAGTTTTCAGCAAATTTAAAACAAGGTGAGTCAGGCATTTGTCTTTGGTTTGACATGACACGTATTCAACATGTGTTGCCGACAACTTGCTGTAT